ACGAGTTGCCGGATTCGAGAATCACCGTGTCCTTCCCCCTCTCTTCGGACCTCGGATATTTCTATAACATTCCAATGCGACTTGTCTATCTCTTCTTCCAGCTCCAGGATCTTCTCGTCAGTCCTCAGAGTGCGTGCGTTGTAATTTGCCAGGTCAAGTTTTAAGTGGCAACTGAACCTCCACCGGAGATTCTTAGCACCCCCCGCCCTGCCGTTACCATGGTCGCCACCGTAGCCTGGAATAGCGAGCCGCCGGGGACTGGGGGCCGTTTATTTGCGTCGTTTCTTATGTTATGATCTGATGATGATGATCATGGTATGTTACCACGCTTGGCGAGCGGGTTGGTAACTGCAGTTTTTTGTTATATAGTTGCTTTTATCAGAAAGATGCTGCTGCCCATCTCCTGCCTGTTTCCTTCTGTCGCCTTTTACGACACCCACGGGAAGATATGGGGTAGTGGATATGTTTACCCGCCACTACACGGTTCTTGTTTATATTGGTTGATTTTATTCCGTCGTGTCTAAATAAATACAGATTTTAAATGATTTATGCCGTTTTATTTCAGTTTTATCAAATCACCTTAAAACCTCGAAAAATCCGGATTATCCGGATTTTAATCATAGGAAAATTCAAAAATTCGGATTTCAAAAAAATCCGGATTTTGCAATCTCTAGTGCTGACGTTGCAACCGCAGATTTTCAACTGTTCGGTCTCTTCAGAATTATTTGAGTAGTGTTAGGTTAACATCTAGAGAGGACTGTCAATCTACTTGTCGCATTTTTTGATCAACAATCCCAATATTACTACAGCAACGGGATTATGTCACTACCTATTTAGATGGCAACAAGTTATTGAACAAAGTGGCAAATATATACATATTATAATTTAAGTAATTAAACTTTAAAAAAAAGAGTCCTGAATTTGCATATAAATAATGAAGAAACCTTTTCCCCGACCTAATATTTTGTTAAATTGAGAAATTTTGCATCAAAGTATTTTTGACATAATTTTTTTTTGTAAAAATATATATAGCAAAGACATTTTTACCACATAGAAAATTGGATAGAAACAGATTCTACATATAAATGTAGTGTACCTTACTCCTGGCTTTTCTACAATAGTAAACTCATCTGTGTCATTTTCTTCCTTCAAATTACGCAGCTGTTCTTCCCAGTCCACACCATCAGGCTAAGGATATAAAAAAAATTATTATGATTTTATTTTACAAGTATATTGAATAAACCAATGATCTTTTGAAATTTTAAAAATACTCACCACATCACTGCCTTCATTTAAGCCACTTCTATTCTCCCTTACTCTACCTCTCCTAGCTTTTTGCAGGCCCCTGACTGAGCCCCTGTCTGCTGGACGACCTCTGCGCCCCCTTGAGGTTGTTTGTGGTGGTAAAGGACGGCTGATTCGCCTTTCTGGGTACCTATCTATAGTAGATAGAAGACCAGCTCCATAGTACATATAGCGAGTATTCTGCAAATAAATTTGTGATATTGAAAACATTCCACTATTAATCATACTAAACTAGTATCTTTCAATTTCCATTTATCTACAGTGAATTTTATGTTACAAAATATGTATAGTTAAATATCAATACATATTCTGTGTAAATTGATATGTAACTTCAATGCACTAATTATATCAATATACTTATAAAAAAATATATTTTGTATTTTATGGTGTGAACTACAAGTAAGTAGTTAATTTCTGGACATATATATCCCTAAGTCATAGAAAACCCAAATAATTATTCCTATACTAAAGACAGGTAAAGACCCAATTACTCAGATTTGTATTGCCCAATCGCATTATTGTCTACTTTATCCAAAAAAACATCATATCAAAAATCGCTTAGAGTGGATCTTAGAAAATAGAAAAATACTTTGTAAGTCAATTTGGTTTTAGACGAGGCATGGGTACTTTAGATAGCTTGAACTTACTTCAGAAATACGTCTAGTATTTTATTGCAACGAGAATGTTATTGGAGCCTTCCTTGACATCTCGTCAGCATATGATAATGTCTAACTTCCTCTACTGAGGCAGAAAATGCTCAATCTGAGTAGCAATAGCTTTAAATAAACTACTATTTAAAGCTATTAATAAGAATGGTCACTCTAGACCACATTCCATCAAATTGTGAATTCATTTTTCTCTTGATGTAATTTAAAGAGTTAAAAAACTTGAAAGTTAGCCTTAAAATACAGAGAAATACATAGTGTCATAATGTTAAGCGTGGAATCCCTGAGGCAAAGACTAAGAGCAGAGAGAGAGAGCTACTTATTTTATAGGATAAGGGTGACAAATGACCACACAGTCCACCCGATGGTAAGTGGTTGCTGTGGCTCATAGACATCTAAATCTATCCTCGATTACGAATCAAAATACAGATGCGTTGTCACCAATGAGGACTTAGACTAAGAACTCAGGAAGCGGTTTTTACACCCGTCTTGGTGTAGGAACAGCTGTTTTATTTCCAAACTCACGAGACTGGAGTTTTGTGCCAATACGAAGCAGTCGCGGTTGTGATTATCACTTGCAAACTTGGCGGATTAACAATCAGTTTAGTTCCAGACCGCCATTGGCACACACCAGAAACAAGCTGTTACATTATACCATTTTCTTTGACATGCGACTACAATATACAACCTACGCTACAACTATAGTTGCAGCATAGCCCTACCATGTATAAAATTACTTAAATGATGTTAAACCACTAAAACATAGGTTTGGATGGAAAATTGTGAAAGAAGTGATAAATTGCCAACCTACACAATCACAAACCTAATATAACACATAGGAAACACAGTTGGCACATTCCACTCTATGTTATTTTAAATTTATAGGGAAACTATGGCATGAAATCTAAGTTACTTCTTAAGACTTACCCCAGGATCTTTATAATATCTCTTAGCATATTTTTTGTGATAATATCTCTCTTTTAAAAGTCTTTTTATTCTTATCTCCTTGCCAGCCGGTGTCTCATCATCACTACTTGTGTCATTACTAGAGGATAACAAAATATCACGAAGCCATTCACGCTCCTCACCTACAGAGGCTAAATTGTAAAGACGTAGTCGATCACTTTGGCGCTCTGTAATAAAATAATATAATTTTAAATGTTTGTATTAACCTTACAATTTATGCTAGTTAAAAGTTAATCGAATATTAAAACTATACAAGTTATAAAAAGCATGAACAGGTAATTGAAAGAATTGTCAGTTAAAAATAATTTACTTATTTATTCTATATAGTAAACACCATAAGATTTTAACAATTTCAGAAATGTACATAAGAAGTACAAATGCAAACTTAATCCTTATAAGAGTTCTCTTCCAGCAAACCCTTATGGAAAGAGAAATATTTTTTTATATAGAACAAATAGGTAGCAGTGTGTGTACTAATAATGAACATCACTACTTATTAGAAATGCATATAGTTAGTTATATCAAATTTAATAATAAATATGAAAATTAATTATAAGTTGATAGATAATATGTTGATGTTTTGTGAAACTTTTGAGAGAAAATATTTTTTTTTTGTTTTCACATTCATTTAACTATAATAGCATTAATAAATATAATAGCAAGTTAAACCAATTTGTAGTAAAAATAAACTATGAAAAACCACTATCCAGATTACTAAATATGTGTACCATTACCAACCATTTCCATAAAACATTAGTCATTTTTGCAGAAGCACAAATGGCTCAGCTCCAGTGGGGGAGGACCACAATCACACATAATGCCAGCCTTAAATAGCATCATAATACAGTTGTATTTTCTATAAGTCCAATAAGAAAATACAAATTACAAAATAAAAAATATACTCTTACAATGTGATGAGGCCATAGTTATCTTTAACATCTTTTAGTATTTGATTAACCTTATGATTTAGATTTTATTTAATTAAAAATGTTTGGAATGCTACCTTGCTTTGTAGTAACAACCCCATGCATCATCTTATCACCTTTCGTCATTTCATTTTCTATTGACTTAGTATCAGTGTCTTCACTGTCACTCCCGCCATCCGAATTGAGAATACTTTCCACTTGATTCACAAATGGTCTAATGTCCAGGGCGGCTTCCAACCTTTGAATATGTATAGGCTTGGCAACTTCATGTCGCTTGAGTACTGTCTTGCCAACGATAGATTTGTCAGACATAATTCCAAATCCTAAAAACAAGATATACGTACGTACCGAAGATAACCTAAACGTAATAGAAAAAAACTTATTATAAGGCAAACTTAGCAAAATAGTAACAAGATTACTATTGTCATAACCAGAATGAAGCTTTAACATACAAATAACGATAATTTGGAATAATACTTTGAGGCAGTTTGAACCCTAGTATGAAGTTGTACTTACACCCAATTTTGTATCCGCCGATATAACCCTACGGTGATTACTTAACACAAAACTCCATAACATTCACAAAATGGCGAACGAGAATATTCGACAAATCGCTGTCAATGTCGTCGCCTGAGCGGCGCACAAAACTAGTACTCATTTCGTATTTGAGCTTGAAAAAACACGAACCCGCCATAATAACTACAGAAGATTGAGAACTGTCAATGTTCCTTTTCTTAGCAATACTATTGGAGAAAAGAAACATGGATACTCAACCACCAATGAAAACCCAAAATTTTTTGATCTTTACCAATCGTAACAAAAATTTCTTGTAAAGACAGAAAATGTTATAGAAAACAGTCCTAGAAAAATTGACGCCTTCTTTCGCATTCGCACACAAAAAAGATAGATTTATGCATACGTCTTGCATAGAAATGAGATAGAGCGGTGTGATTGTTTGTCCCTTTCTCCGTGCCGGTTTTTTTTATTTAGCAAACTACACTTTTATAAACAACTTTGACAGTTCGTAGCGATCTAAGGAGTTTACAAGTTGGTTTAAGTGAGAAAAAAGGTGTTTTGTGAGCTTAAGATTGGTGAATCTTGTTCAGTTCAGTTCTTAGAACAATTAAAAACTTTAAAAATGGTTAGATGTAGTGTCTTAGGATGTAAAAGTGATAGTGAACGTAAACTCACCGGTATATCATTTCACTCGTAAGTATAGTACCTACATTTTATCTGGTATTACGTATAAAATTCAATTGTTGTTTTAAATTTCGTTACAGAACTAATATAAATATACGTTTAAATCTTTATCTAAATATCTTTAAAAGTCATAAAGATTATTGTATAACCTAAAACCTAGTTGATTTAGTGTTGCCAGTATTCGACGATGATCTCCCCATTTGCAAATAACACCAAAAAGCAGAATTTGACTAGAAATGCTAATTTTCACAGATTTCCCGAGAATGAAACAATTCGCATGCGGTGGATAGATGCCACAGGCCGTATAAATTTTAAACCAAAAACTTTTTCAAAAATATGCAGCAAACATTTTGACCCAAATCTATTGCTTAGAAAGAATGTGATGACTGTTCTATTCACTAATGCCGTTCCATTTGTGGTAAGTACCTATCATGAGTTTTACTGATAGGACTAATGTAAATAAAGCAATGTTTTTCTTAGATAGAAAAAATATCATTCCAAGCATTTGATGAATATAGATAGACTATATGTTTGATTACAATATTTATAATTTTGTTTTATTTTGATATTGAAGTAAAATTAAAATCATGTTGATATAAATAAAAACTATATCGAATGTTACAGTGGGCATTGTACAAGACACTTAAAATTTGTTAAAACTGACTTATTGTCCTAAAATTAGTCAACAAATAACAATAAGTCAGTTTTTGAAATACAAGAAGAATCACCTTATAAGTTAGAAGAATCACAAGTTGAAAATGTCTCCAACCATTTGTGTCGTCAGTGAAAATGTCACTAATGCATGATATTGTTTAAACATTTTGCTTTACATTGAGTTTGAGACATTCTCAACTTGAAATTCTCAGAATAGCATATTTACTATCTTTGTATATTTCTTCAGCCATATAACATGAAATTGATGATGTGTGTATTTAATTTGGTCTCATTTGTAGGCAAACAATAGTTATAACTGTTGCATATTATAAAATGTAGTGGGTAGTTTTAGCCGGTAAGCGCGCATTGTATTTCCGTCGTCAGTTAAAATAAATGTCTGTACTCGACGCACGCCTTTTATTTATCAGTGGTGAAGAGGATAAAACTTGGTTCGGTGTGGAATAATTTTGTTTGATCGTGTCGTAGACAATAGTCGCAGCAATGTCTGTAGGCAAAATCAAGGACTTTGATGTGAAAACCGGCAACTGGTCAGCATATGTGGTTCGGTTAGAAATGTTTTAAAGTTTAGTTTTAAAGAAACGATTTAAAGTTACCAACTTTAATCGCGCTCATCGGTGAAGAAACATACGAATTGTTGTCTACGTTGGCGAGTCCTAAGAAGCCGTCAAGCCTATCGTATGCGGTCGTGGTGGATCTACTGCGTGCACATCTGCAACCGACACCATCAATCCTGGCAGAACGGTAGAGATTTCATCAAAGACGGCAAGTAGCAGGCGAATCGATAGCGAACTACGTGGCGGACTTGAAAAAGATGGCTAGATATTGCGAGTTTAAAACTAACATAGAGGAAAACCTACAAGATCAGTTTCTGTGCGGTCTGCGGAGTGATTTTATTCGACAGAGGTTATTTGCAGAAAACGATCTTGATTACAAAAAAGCGCTACAGTTAGCTAATACCCTAGAGGCAGCCGAGCGGGATGCGGGAGCTGTAGAGGGCTCGCGGGAACAGGATCCGGACCGTGAACTTAGCGAGAAGATACATAAGTTAGGAAACAGAAATTGTTCAGCGTGCGGTGGCGACGAACATAGCTCACAAAACTGCAGGTATAAAAATTTTGAATGCAGTTACTGTGGGAAAAAAGGCCATTTGCGAAGAGTATATATGAAGAAGGAATTCGATCGTCGTATGACATCGGATAATTCAAATTCAAACGGTGCAGAGGTCGCGCGCTCGGCCACAGCGCGGACGGCGGGAAGCAGCGCCGCGGGGCGGGGCCGGTGGTGGCACGCGGTATGCGGATGTCTGCTCGAGCGAGCGCTAGCGTGGGCATCCACGCTGCGGCCGGTGCGGCGCACTTGTTGAGCGAGCCGGCGACGGGTGACGTCTCTGAGGATGATCAGAACGCGTCTGATGATGGCGAGGAACCGATGTATCAGATGTCTTTAGCGAAGTATAGACCGGTGTATATGAACATAATTATAAATAATAAACCCTTAAAAATGGAAGTCGATACAGGGTCGGCATTATCTTATATAAGTTATTCAACATACATTAAATTATTTAAGGAGTTACCTTTAAAAACGTGTAAATTAAAATTAAAATTTTACGATTGTTCAGCTATTTATCCGATAGGGTGAATACAAATGTTTGAGTATAATAATAATGTAAAACAGTTAGATTTATATGTAATAAATAAGGGTAGCACTAGTTTATTAGGCAGACAGTGGCTGTCTGAATTGCGTATAGAAGTACCTAAGCTAAGTAAGTGTACAGAAATACATAATATGGTACCATGTAAAAATAACTCGCTTAATGATATTATCTCCAGGCATGAGAATCTATTTGACGGCACATTGGGCAAGTATACTGGTGAAGAGATCAAGCTGCACGTGCGCGAGGGAACGCAGCCTATTTATTGCCGCGCGCGACCCGTGCCGTACGCGCTACTCCCGCGGGTGGATGCAGAGTTGGACGCGATGCTGCGCGCAGGCGTCGTCGAGCCGGTGGACCGCTCGGACTGGGCCACGCCGTTGGTTATAGCGAGGAAGGCGGACGACGGAATACGGCCGTGCGCGGATTATAACAGCGGTGACACTGAACAAAGCTTTGTTGGTCGATAGGTACCCGGTTGCAAAAGTAGAAGATTTATTTAGTGGTTTGAGTGGTAATCGTTACTTCACCAAGCTAGATCTTTCACAAGCATATAATCGGTTAATTTTAAATGAAACGTCTAGAAACTACACTGTTATTAATACGCATAGAGGACTGTTTAAATACAACCGCCTAGTGTATGGTCTCGCTTCTAGTCCCGGAATTTTTCAAAATATAATGATAAATCTCTTTAAAAATGTGCCGGACGTGGTTGTGTTTTACGACGACATACTAATAAAAAGTAAATCGTGGGATTCGCATTTAAAAAGTATAGAACAAGTATTTAGTATCTTGGAAACTAACGGATTAAAAATAAAAAAATAAAAATGTGAGTTTATGGCTCCCCAAGTAAAATATTTAGGATTCATAATAGATAACACTTTTCCGGGTTGACTCGAACACCCTGTTCGAGTCAACCCGGAAAAGTTAAAGTCTATTTTAGGTATGCCTCATCCAACTAATATATCGGAATTGAAATCGTTTTTAGGCATGGTTAATTTCTTTGGGAAATTTATAAAAAATTTAAGTATCATACTCTCTTTATGACTTATTAAAAGGGTAAACATTGGAGATGGGGAGATTGTCCATCTCCAATGTGGTAAACATTGGATACAGTGTTTTAATAAAATTAAAAAGCTTTTGTGTAGTGCGGAAGTGTTGACACATTTTGATATGTCGTTGGAGAGCATAGTAACATGCGATGCCAGCTCGCGTGGGCTCGGCGCGGTGCTGGCGCAGCGCGCGCCCGCCGGCGATGGCGAGCGGGTGGTGGCGTATGCGCGCGCTCACCTCCGCTGAACAACACTGTAGTCAGATTCATAAAGAAGCCCTCGCGATAGTATTTGCAATGGACAAATTCCATCAATATTTATTTGGTAGAAAGTTCACTTTACGTACGGATCATAAACCGTTAGTCACAATCTTTGGACCGCAGGCGGGTATTCCCAACACGTCGGCTAGTCGACTACAACGCTGGGCTATTAAGTTATCCGCTTATGATTTTAATATAGAGTACATTCGCACGGACAAAGTTTTTTGTGCGAATGTGCAGATATATATCAGATGTTTTGTCTAGGTTGATTAGTGAGCATAAGAAAGGGGTTTCTAAGGAAGAATTAGACACCCCAGAACAAACATATTTACATTTTGCTTCAGAAGCGTTACTATTGGAATCACACAAATTAAAAAAAGAAACGGCGTCGTATATTATATTAAGCAGAGTAGTCAGATATATGACGGTTGGACGAACGACGTCGAAATGAGAGAATTAAAACCATATATTAACAGAAAAAATGAGTTGTACATGGAACTAGGTTGTGTAATGTGGGGACATAGGGTCGTTATTCCAGACTCTTGCAGGGATAAAGTTATTACGGAGCTTCATGAGCTTCACGGCATATGGGGATAGTAAAAACGAAGGCGCTGGCTCGGAGCTATGTGTGGTGGCCGGGCATAGACGAGGCTGTAGAAGCAGCGTGCCGTGCCTGCACCGTGTGCGCAGCGGTAGCTGACGCCCCTCCGGTGCACGCACCGCGCTCATGGCCATGGCCAGACCGCCCATGGACCAGGATACACATAGATTTTTTGGGGCCGATAGCGGGACAAACTTTCCTTATTGTAGTTGATGCTCATTCAAAGTGGATAGAGGCAATTAAAATGAATAGCACTACAGCGAAAGCTTTTATAAAGGAGTTGCGAGAAATGTGGGCGAGATTCGGTTTACCGAAACAAGTGGTTAGTGATAACGGTCCTCCATTTTTCAGTAACGGGTTCAGACAATTTTTAAGTTCCAATGGAATTGAACAAATTTTTTCAGCCCCATATCACCTGGCTTCGAATGGGGCGGCGGAAAATGCCGTTAAAATATGTAAACGTAATATTAAAAAAGCAATCAAGTGTAGAACAGACATACACACGTCTTTATGTAGATTCCTATTAGCCTATAGAAATATACCACACTACACACCCGGTGAAAGTCCTGCAAAAATGTGCATAGGGCGTAATTTACGCATGCGTTTAAATTGTTTGAAACATGAATAGAAAGAATTAGTAAAAGTCGGCAGAAGCGAGCAGAAACGTCAGCTGAGGGAGCGATTAGACAATTTGCGGCAGGTGAGAATATCTGGTTTAGAGACTTTCGCGGCGTTGATAAGTGGACGGCAGGGACAATAATAGAGAGGACAGGTAGTACGGATTACAAAGTCAGATCTATCACTGGAACCGAGGAACACAGACATATCGACCAACTAAAGCGAAGAGTGTCAAACGATGTAACCAAAATAGTAAACTTAACACGTAATAATAATAACAATCGTAACAGTCACACAATACGCGAATCACCTGTAAAATGATTCCGCTCTTCGCTAATGTTTCCAGTAAACAACGACAAACAGTCCGACGCGCCTGTTAACAGGCCAAGCGCGGCCGTACCGGAGGGCGCATTGCCAAACCCAACCGACGACACTGATACTGTATTAACGGCAACTTCGCCAACGTCTAACGTGCCCAATGTGCAGGAAATAGATAATCATGGCTCGAACAACAATGTCACTAATGAATCGCGTGGTGTTCGCCGTGTATGTAAACTAGTCAGACGATATGGTATAGTATAGATGATTGTTACAAGTAATAATTAAAAAATTGAAAGAGAGAAATTGTATGTTATATTTATTTGAGTAGTAGGTTCATTGATATTATTTTCTTAGGTAGAATATTTGTAACAATATAAAATAACGATGTTTAAGTATAACTTATGTTCTTAGTCATTATGTATAGTACAAAATAAGGGTGGAGGTGTTGCGTACTATAAGTGTAAGTAATTATAAATGTAGTGGGTAGTTTTAGCGGGTAAGCGCGCATTGTATTTCCGTCGTCAGTTAAAATAAATGCTCGACTCTCACCTCTCACCTCTCGACTCGACGCACACCTTTTATTTATCAATAACTTATAATATTTTTTTTCTAGGACCAGCATCCACAAGTTCAAGAACACAAGGCGATTAATACCAATGTTGCAGAATCAAGTTCTAATATAAAAACTAGTCAGCTTTCTCAGGTAATTAACAAGCTTTCACACAAAAAAATATGTAAATATAGTTCTTCTGATTTTTGGATGTTGTACTATTATTATAATTTTATTATTATTTCAGGCTAAAGAACCTGAAACTACAATGACTGCAGCTCCTGTTTATGTTCTTAAGAACATAGATTGCAATGTTATGGCATCAACTTCCAGAGTAAGTCTAAATTTACTTTCTTAAATGGTTTGTTTAACATAAAGTCAGCTTTGTAACAAAAAAAAAAGCATTTGTACATGCCAATAGCCAATTTAAAATATTATATAAGACAGAGTTGACACGCCAAGAAGAAGAAAATATTATGTCCTTATGTTCTTCTTTTCATTTTGATAGTAATCTCAATATCACAATAAATTAACATTTTATTTCAGTTAGTAAATAAGCTTTTAAAAAAAACAAAGTCGGGGAAGAAAAACTCTCCGATCACACTCTTAATCTCATGGATGTTAGACGGGAGATGAGGCTGCAATCGTCAGCAGATTTGACAGCATACAGGCAATTCTGAACAGACAAATCTCCAAATGCATGCGGCAGGACTTACGCAACTTCAATACAGCTCGTATTGAAGAAGCGATTGAGCGGAACCAGGGCTCCAAAGTCTTTGCCAGAGATCTGTCTGCCGGAAAGAGCCAACTGTCAAAGCTGAAGACTGAGTTTTTGGGACACCTGAGATTTTGAATGAGATTGAGAGGTTCTATGGGCAGCTGTACACATCATCGTTGGAGCCACACGCAAGTGTGAGTAACGATCCAGGAGCAAGTCTTACCCGACACTATTCCGATGATATCCCGGACGTCATTCTGAGCGAGATTAGAATGGCTCTCCAAGACCTTAAAAACGACTGGGCCCCAGGCGAGGATGGAACTACAGCGGAGCTTCTGAAAGCGGGTGGAACACCGGTACTTGAAGTCCTTCAGAAGCTCTTCAATTCCGTCCTCCATGGTGGCACTACTCCGGAGGCGTGGAGCAGAAGTGCGGTGGTCTTATTCTTTAAGAAAGGCGACAACGCTCTCTTGAAGAACTACAGACCGATATCCCTTCTGAGCCGCGTCTACGTGCTGTTGTCGAGAGTCATTACGAATCGTCTCGCACGCAGACTTGACGACTTCCAGCCTCCCGAACAAGTCGGTTTCCGAAAAGGCTTAGCACCATAGACCACATACATACCCTTCGGCAAATTGTACAGAAGTCCGAAGAGTACAATCTGCCACTTTGCCTGGCGTATGTGGACTATGAGAAAGCCTTTGATTCCGTCGAAATTTGGGCGGTGCTACAGTCACTTCAGCAGTGCCAAGTTGACTGTCGGTATATCGAAGTGCTGAAGTGTTTGTACAGTAGGGCTATGATAGCTATCCGAGTACGTAACCAGAGTACGAAACCTATCCAACTGCAGAGAGGTGTAGGACAGGGTGACGTTATATCTCCGAAACTCTTCACCGCTGCAGTGGAAGACGTTTTCAAGCTACTGGACTGGAAAGGATACGGTATTAACATCAATGGCGAGTACATCACTCACCTTCAATTTGCCGACGATATAGTCCTTATGGCAGAATCGCTGGAGGACCTAAGCGCTATGCTCAATGACCTCAATAGTGCCTCCCAACGGATAGGTCTTAAGATAAACATGGAAAAAACAAAGATCATGTTTAATGTCCATGTCACACCTATGCCGGTAGTTGTTGGGAGCACTAAGATCGAAGTTGTTGACAAGTACGTTTACCTGGGACAAATAGTCCGACTAGGTAAGTCCAACTTCGACCGAGAGGTCAATCGACGGATTCAACTCGGCTGGGCAGTGTTCGGGAAATTACGTTACATCTTCTCGTCAGGTATACCTTAAAACATGAAAACGAAATTGTACAACCAGTGCGTGTTGCCAGTGATGACATATGGAACTAAGACGTGGTCCTTCACTGCCAGCTGTATGAGGACACTCAAAGTCGCTCAACGAGCTATGGAGAGGGCCATGCACGGGGTTTCTCTCCGTGATAAATTTAGAAATGAGGATATCCGCAGTAGAACCAGAGTGACCGACATAGCCCAACCGATTAGTAAGCTGAAGTGGCAATGGGCCGGCCATATAGCTCGAAGAACCGACAACCGTTGGGGAAAAAAGGTTCTCGAGTGGCAGCCTCGTACCGGTAGGCGTAGTGTAGGGCGACGCCCCACTAGATGGAGTGACGAGCTGGTAATACATGCAGGAAGTTAATGGATTCAGGTGGCTCAGGACCGTGCTTTGTGGCGTACTTTGGGGGAGGCCTATGTTCAGCAGTAGACTTGTGAAGGGCTGTAATGATGATGATGATAATGTGCGTTGTTTCTTTTTTTTTTTTGCTTGTTATTATAATTTTGTTTTTATTTCAGGCTAGAGAAACTGAAGTTACAATGACTGCAGCTGCAGCTAATACTAATTTGATGGCATCGACTTCCAAAGTAAGTCTAAATTTACCTTTTTAAATAGTTTATTTATGAGTCTAAACTGTGGTTTTTGCTCTACTAAATTCTATAATCCCTGTAACATTGCAAACCTTACTTTCACACATTTCCTATGAACGAAGATTTACTATTAGGGTATAATAAATTGAGACTTACCGTATATTCGAATAGTACACGTTCGGTGTTAACTAGAACTCTCAAGATTTTTCATGGACATATTAATCATCTCATCTAACATATAGCACCTAGTATAATAATGTATTAGTATTCACGTTCAAGTAGATGATCTAAATTGTTTTAATTTTAAAGGGAACATCACAAGACTACAGATTTCGAGCAATACAAAGTAAGCTGAATCGCACTATAAAACAATCAGCGGATAGATTGAAGAAAATTCGAGCGCTTCGTGAAAGAAGTAGGCGCTTGACGAAGAAAGTAGCGAACTTGGAGAAGGTGATTGTGGAACTAAAAGTGAAGTCTCTCGTGCAAAGTACTACCAACTAAAATTAAACTACAACATTATTTATGCATACAACCACACCAATGTCCACGAAATAAGTATTCTACTAATAACAAATAACAAAATAAGTGATGTGATTGTACCTATATTTTATTTAAAACTAGCTGTAGGTACGAGGCATGCGTTGCAATGCCACATAAAGTATAAAGAAATATAGGTGCCTATAGATTTTTTGGGCCAGTAACTCTCGCGGGCGCTTTCATTTTGTCCCCTATCAAAGTTTCATCAAAATCTGATCCATGATTTCGGCACGCATAGAGGACTAACATACAAACGTTGATTTTTATTTATTTTTATTAAAAAATATGAGTCGATTGAACATTGAGTTTCCCACAAAGCGCATAAAACTGGGGTAAAATTGTTTAGGTAGCAACATCACCTCTTTATCGTCCTTTCTCACTCGAGGCCACGCTAATCTATAGGTTTCTCTGTCTACGTCTAAGATCCGTGGTATGGAGGTTAGAGAACAGGAAAACGATCGCTACGTGCTAAAGCGTAGCCTGCCTGTCGCTGAAAATTTGTAGAATTATAACCGCGCTACAGCCGGTAAGTACCTAGTATCTGCGAAGTAATTTTTTAATTATTGACAAAAAGAAATATTATAAAGTGGTGAAATATTATTTAAAAAAAATAATAATTATTAATAATTTATATTTATAATAATTTATAATATTTATAATAATTAATTATAAAAACATAATTTATAATTTATTTATTAATAAATAATAACTTCGTTATTTTCTTTCATTTTTCCTTGAATGATAGTAATCATTTCAAACTAAGCCCAATTTTATTGAGGTAACTTAGCGATCGCAGCGCCTCACTTATTTTGTCCATATTTCTGGGACATTATTTTGTATAGCGATCGTTCTCCTTTTCTCTAACGTCCATGCTGCATACCATGGAGTATTTATTAATAAATAAATTATAAATTGTGTTTGTTATAATTTTAATTATTATAAATATTATAAATTATTACAAATATAATTTTTGTTTAGGTATCTATATAGTTTTCTCATCTGGTTGGGTTCCATAAATATATAATTGTGAATGAAAATGATAAATACACGTAAATAACAATAAAATGAAATAAAGGCATAGAAACTACATAAATAAATAAAAGCCCATCCAGATGGAAGCCCTCGGCAGGGGAGATCAAACGGCCAAGGGTTAGGGGGAAAGGGAAAGAAATCGGCGGTATCGAGGAGCACCGCCTTCCGCATTTGAGTCCGGAGCAGTCCTTCATACCTCCATGCTACATACTATGGAGTATTTATTAATAAATAAATTATGTTTGTTATAATTTTAATTATTATAAATTATTACAAATATAAATTATTAATTTTTTGGGGTATCTACAATATGTAACGTAATTAACGCACACCCTCAGATACCCCAATTAGTATATTATGTTATAATCATAATACATACACTGAATTTTTAGTTAAACATTTTTATGCACTGATTATTTATCAAATCAGTTATACTAATTCCGGAAGAATGTTGTGGTCACAGTACAAATCCACGAACGTAAAGACTTTAACGTGCTTGAAATAAAGTTTATTTTTCTTTATTTTTATTGAAGGACAGAATTAGTAATATTACAAATAAAACTGCATTCTTAAAAGTCTTATTGTCTTAAGTTACGGTCCATTTCAGTTTGTTTTGACTGTACAGATTTAGTGTGACTGTAATTTACGTAGTTTTAATTATTTTTGGGATAAAAATTACCTATATTAAAAATGATAGGAATCGATTCAGTAAACGATTCTGAACAAACTACTTTCTCAAAGTGCGTTAATTATGTTACATGTTTTATATAGTTTTCTCATCTGGTTAGGTTCTATAAATATATAATTGTGAATGAAAATGATAAATATACATAAATAATAATGAAATAAAATAAAGATATAAAAAATACATAAATAAATTAAAGCCCATTCAGATGGAAGCCCTCGGCAGCGGAAACCAAACGGCTGAAGGTTAGGGGGAAAGTGAAGGAAACCGGCGGACAAATCGGCGATATCGAGGAGCACTGCCTTCTGCATTTGTGCCCGGATCAGTCCGTCACGGAGTCCCAGTTGCCTCAGATGACCCAAGAGGTTGACTGGGATTAGCCCGTTTGCAGTAACGACTACAGGTGTAATTTCGGTCGACAGCCCATCCCACATGTCGGTCACCTCGTGAGCCAGGTCCAGATATTTTGTTTGCTTATGTGTTTTGGCTTCGGTAATGTCGACCAAAAATATCCTCGACTGTGCCCGGTCCATCAGCACAATATCAGGCTTATTCGCAAGAATAGTCCTGTCTGTGATGATGGCCCGGTCCCAGTAGATCCTGGCGCGGTCATTTTCGACCAAGGCTTCCGGCAAGTACTTGTAGTACGGCAATTTCTGGTCCACGAGACCGTATTTCAGAGCGAACTCCTGATGTTTGGCTACTAGGTTGTGCTTGTGCAAGTACTCAGAGTTAGAAAGCGCTAAGTTATTAATTATTATTGATTTATTATTATTATTATTTTATTTATATAATTTCACTATTATTTAATGTTTCTTTTTGGCAAAAATTAAAATATTATTTCGCAGGTACTACTTACCGACGGCAGCGCGGCTGTAAACTCTACAAATTTTGCAGGGACGGGCGGGATATATAATTTATTCATTAATAAATAATAATAGTAAATAATAATTTCGTTATTTTCCTGTTCTCTAACCTCCATGCTCAGTAAGCGATTTTGAATGACAGATCGGCACAAACATAGAATACAAGGCAGAAGTCGGCACGTAGGAAATGAGCTCCAAGATATTTTGTAATTTTTAGAGTACAATAGCTATAATTTTAGTTAGTAATCATAATAATATAATAAAAAAATAAACACTCACGCCTGTCACCCAGAGGGGTAGGCAGAGACTACGGACTTCCATTTGGCACGATCCTGAAATACCTCTTTCGCCTCCTTTACATCCGTATATCTACGCATACATGCTCGTCGGTTAAAGGTACTTCTAATGTGGCCCATTTTCAAAATATCCCTAGCATACTCATTAAAGACCGCATTTCTACAGCATTTTTCTACTTTCGTGCCTCTTCTGCCACGACCAAATTTCACTACCATACACTAAAGTAGGGATTAACACAGCATTATGAATTACCATACGTGCCTTTTTCGACACTTTCTGATTCTTCATAATAGAGTGTAGTGCCCCATTCACTCTATTCCCTGTTAGTTATTGTTTTTGAAAATAGAATTACTTGTTCTGTGAGTGACTATAGTGTTAATAATAGAAATAATCCTGCTAATTGCATATTTCACAGGTAAATTCTCAAGACGTCGCACATAGGGGTATTTTGCTGATCTAGTCGGTCAAAATTATTTATTTAGTTTTTTTACTCCAGAGGCTTGCGCTGGTTAACTATAAGCCATATTTTTCTTTTTTTAATGAATAATGACTTTAAATATTGGGAAAAATATCATAAAAATATGTTTTAGTAACTTCGATATTTATTATTTTCTTTAACAAAATGTTATAAAAATTATGTAATTATAATGATGATGAGCCCCGTGATTCTTCATCTTCCTCATCACTTTCAATGCCTCCAGAAACCTCCTTCAAAATCCAAATCAGAATCTGAGTCTTTTTCAGAGTTGGGTACAGCAGGAATCATCAAAGTAATTGCTTCTTTCGTGAATGACAACGTTCTTTTTTTGGGGGTTGATCTTACCGACTTACACGCTGTTTCTCGGTACGCTTTTCCGTATTTGTGTTTTATCGTATTTTACTTTTATTAAATAAGTGCCGTAGCCCTACGCTAGTGCTCCACTAATTACAAACGGTGTAATAGATAAGTTCAATTATTTTCTGTCTAATATACTTCGATCTATAATAGTATTAATATAATTATGTTACAAAAAATAATTACAAATAATAATTTCAAAGACTGAAAAAAAACTGCTGTCCTTGTTATAACCAGTTAGGATACATCCTAATCTAGTATATACATTAACCTACATATGGATGCACGGTTCCGAAGATGTGCAGATCAATTAACTCTTATCTAATTGATATCCGGTGAGGGCTTCCACCGTCATTAGCGCTCCATTGTTCTTATCTATTTATCTATTGTTCATTGAATACCGTCATTATCTATTCTTCCACAGCGTATGCGTCGGCTTATCAGTGCTATTGTATTATACTCCTTTGTTCCTATCTACAACACTAATCTGAATCATCAATAAAATACATTACCTAATTTTATTATAATTTTTATTTACGAATTACAAAATCTTATTACTTATTATCTATAAAATAGGAGCGAAACATCTTATCCACTAAAATATCGCTGTGCAATGTGTTCCCTGTAAATATACTCGTAAAACTGTGCATTGAACATCCCTGAAACTTATATAGCAAATACATTAAGCAATATTCGCCACAAACTGAAGTCCACTCTTTCTGAACCCTATCAATATTCCAGTTCCATCTTTTGCAATTCCTTTTTAAAAACTCTAGATGATATCGTACAGGTTCTCGTCCATATGAATCAAAATATTGACCGACGTCATTCGTATCGATATATAAAGCTACCCAATGTGACCTTGGTATATCATCTGTATCCAAATTGCATATTATATACGTTGGCACGTGGGTGTACATGGGCAGTCTATTGGCAGCATAAACATTATTTTCTAGACTGGGGTGAATCTTTTTCAGATGTTGTTGTACATCTAGTGTATCCATGATATTACTGCTATTAGTAGATTATTACAGTACAAATCTACTCAATGACTAACATAGGAATGATCAATTATAGTGATTTCTAAATATTAAATTGCATTATTTTGTTTTATACAAAACGTATTTGAGTCATCGCCGAACTGAACAAGACGCAACACGAAGGAATGTTGAGATATACAACAAAATGTGAGATAAGCTTGTTGACGCATAAAGTTACTATCAATTCCACTGCAGAAATTCTTTAGTTTAGAATTATTACTTACTGGTACTATATAAGACCAAGCAACTGCAGTCATGGAGTTAGTGTATGGTCCTTTGACCGCAGTGGATCTATCAATACTACATTTGTGTTACTTGAACGCATCAAAGGCCATGGATGTAAGTGTTTCTTTTATTGACAAACTTACTTTTCTTTCTGTTATTTTCTTACGTGTGTATGATTTAGTGTTAACAAATTATATTTATAATTTGTTAACACTAAATGTAAATATTATATGCCGTGCCGTATAGCCGTGGTAGTTCAGATGGTTAGCGCAAGCTGTAAATTTCACAGTACGCGATCCGGGTTCGATCCCCGCCGGTACCAATTAAATTGTTAATTGCAATTTTAAGTGTTTATTCTATTGAGAAACTTACTTTTCTTTCTGTTATTTTCTTACGTGTGTATGACTTAGTGTTAACAAATTATATTTAAATATTGTGTGTATATGATTAAGCCGTGGTAGCTCAGATGGTTAGCGCAAGGTGTAAATTTCACAGTACGCGACCCGGGTTCGATCCCCGCCGGCACCAATTAAATTGTCAATTGCAATTTTAAGTGCTGATTTACCACGTGCTCGGCGGTGAAGGAAAACATCGTGAGGAAAACCTGCATGTCTGAGAAAATTTCGAAGGCATGTGAAGTTCGCCAACACGCATTGAGGCAGCGCCGCGGACATTTCCTAGCCATAAATACAAAGACAATAGCAGAAAGTAAAAAATTTAAAAAATTACTTTTTAACAATGACAGTCATTAGTTGATCATTAGTGAATGTGATTCTGTTTACTTAAATTACAGGAAGACAAGAGCAGAAGGAAGCAATGGGATGATGGGAAGTAATGAAGCATTGTTGTGTGAAGTTTGTTGGAACAAACATATTTTTAGTCACGACCTTTAACATTTTGATTCAAAATGACACAAAATCTAAAAAATATTAGATACATCATCGACATGGACGGATTTTACATTACATATCCTCATAAACATTTTTAATGTAGAGAAATGGCTATTCTGGACGTAAAACTATCTAATAAAAATGATGCGTTTATCGATCATTATTTGTTTCGGCCAAGTTATCCTTTCAATTATTTGTTTCCAAAAGACAAAGAAACTGTTCTTTATTGTGAAACACACGTGCACGGCATTCCATATTTTGATGTGATCGAAGAATTAAAATGTGCCTACAAACAAGAGAACATCATTCCCATATTAAATTGGTATATTAGAAATTTGTACAAAGACGAAGTGATCGTATACAAAGGTGGTTCAACAGAAAAACAATTTTTAAAAATGTTGACGACGAATTATAGAATTTTTAATATTGAAGAATACAAATGTCCAAATAAATTTATGACATTTACCAAATACAATGATTTGGTAAATGTCATAAATTTAAACAACGTTATGCGTGTAATAATCATATATTTGCAAAAAAATAATCACAAAATTTTACATTGTTCTTGTGACGAATTGTGGGTTTTTTACAAGTGGTTATTGCTTGAAAATAAAATTTTAAATTAATCATAAATTTTGTTTGATTTCCCAAAAACATTAGTTATAGTACACAATATATAACCAACACATTCATTTTTTATTTCACCCCTTAGAACTTTAGACGTGTGTAATGTTTCACTTTATACATCCGTTTACTGCTATTGTGGCAGGACCAAGTGGATGTGGGAAGTCAAATTTTGTAACAAATTTCATAAAATCAGTTACAGAAATATGTATGAATTGTGATTTTAATCAGATCACATGGTACTTTGATGAGATGCAACCTTTATATAATTTACCAAATGTTAACTATCATCAAGGAATTCCAAATCTTAATATGTTTGATGGTGAAAACCCACATCTCGTTATTATTGATGATCTAATGAGAGACTATTCGAAGGTATAAAATCCCGTATGTTAAAAGTTGCGAACGATGATTATCACGAATTTTATGTTGCCAAAAAATAAATATTCGAAACAAAATATGTCAAAGATAGATGACGTCTAAATTTTTAAAGTTAGAAGGTTTACGAGTATTTAGCAGAAATAACTCAATCCCGATAATTTTAGTTACGAGTCAACAAACAGGTGAATGCTCTTTCAGCCGAAAATAAATAACTTGAACTTCAGAAGTACAATTGTCTGCTATCGGTAATTCCATTTTCGATGTAAAATTGTAGTTATTTTTATTGTGATAATTAATTAAGTTTACAAATATTGAAAATGGATTGTTTTATTTACTTTCTTATTAATATTTATATTGTTTGAGCTTTAACTTAATGAACAGCTTAAGTCCTATGTACATATTATATAGGTTAATAGTTATTTTGTAATGGAAATTATTTTATCGGCTTACGGTACTTCGTATTTCGTTACAATCATTTTTCTGAAATATTGATTTTTATGGATGAAAGGTTATTCACCTGTTTGTATTTCGGTATAGTTTCGTAGATGTATTCAGAAAATGCGATAATACTGAAGGTAACATATGGAACTACCATAAAAAATTAACTTACCACGTCATAAGAAATAAAACTAAAGCAGAAGACGAGTTTCATATATTACATGTGGGATATCATGAAAGGGTTTTTTTTTCCGGGCTTCATAGCCTAGGTAAGATCTATTGCCTATCGTGGCAACTTCGGTATCCCGTGAGCGGTTATTTTCAGAGGCTGGATCTACA